AGGGAAGCTCCACACACCCAGATAGGCCCCTTGACTGCCCGTCCCCAAGCCAGAGATGTGTGTGCCTGCACCTCTCAGAGCAGCAGTAATGGCACAGACCCCAGCATCGCAAGGAAATCAGAAATGCTGTTTTTAAAGGGGACACGGTGGTCATAATTATATTTTTCCTTGGAATCTAAGATAAACGCTTCTTCCAAAATGCTAACAACAGGTGAATTATGTTAATTGTCTGTAAATTTAAAGCCAAATGAAAAGTTTAAAATAAAAAAGAAATAGAAGAATACATGAGTTTTCTAGAACCACAGGGAGAAGCAGTTGCCAATACTTCCAGGAGCAAAGAAACTCCCTTGAATCCTGCCCCATGCCTCTCTCGGGGTCCTTGTCCGTGTCTCCTTGGGCGGGGCAGGACAGCAGCGGTCCACAGTCACTTAGGGAGGGGGCTACGGGGTCGTTGTAAACTCCCCTCTCACAGCAGCCAGAGCAGTGAAACACTGGGGAAAAGAAAGAAAGAGGAAAACATGTCCTGAGCTTTTAAACACAGCTGAAGCAAACCCCTTACATTGAGGGATGCCAGCTGTGTGTCCCCTGTAGTGCCAGCCCAGGACATCCAGGCGCTGCACTGTGGCCCACAGTCCCCCCTCCCAGGGCCGACACTGCCCTCTGCAGTGACTCATGCCCGGGATAGTTTAAATACCGGGACAGCTCAGGCAAGCCACACTCATGCTGCAGCCTTGAGCCGTCCCTCGTCCTCCTCTCAGGCTCCCTCTTGTCCACGGCGGGCGGGCGCTGAGCTGCTGGTAAGTAGGTGAGCCACCCCCTCCCTCCTCTCTGCTTAGAGGACCCGGCCAGCCCCTTCCCATTTCTGCTGGGCCTGCTCCCCTGGGAGACCCCAGAAGGGGCAGGGCTGACATGTGCCTGGGGATGCTCTCGGGACAGGGCCAGGAGAAGCCTGTGCTTGGAGGGGTGCAAGCCTGTCTCCCTCACTGCCCGGACACCAGGACCACCAGCTGCTCTGCTGATGCCTCAACAGTCTCTTGGCCCCTTGCCCTGAGCAGCTCATGATGTCATCCTGGGGTGCTGAGATGTCTGAGACCAGCAAGTTGGGCTGAAAGTGGACGAAATTATCACCCGCTTGTCACTGGATTGACCTTTCTGGAATCTAGATCCATTGGGGGAAGAACTTTTCTTTTTAAGGCTCGGATTATTTGAGCCTGTGCTGTCTTTCCTGGCACTTAACCTGGTGGCCCCCAGTGGTCTGCCCCGCATTCGGGTCTGTCCAAGACTTTCCTTCATGGGGGTTTCCCAGGCAAGAGAGCTGTCTTCTTTACATAGACGCATAATTCCTGCAGGTGTGACTTCAGCAGATGTGCCGGTCCCTGGTTTGCAGTTCTAGTCTGGAATTCAGACATGGGCTCAGCGTTGTTCAGGCTCTAACCGTGTGGCTTAGGGGACACTATGCCGGCAGTTTCCCCTCTCTCCCACTGGAAGGGCCGGCCTGTGTGGAACCTGGCGGCTTTGAGCAGGGAGTCAGAGCAGGAGATGCATTTGTGATGAGGGGCGTGTGGATTTGAAATTGTGATGGCTGCACCTTGACCTGTGTCTCTGCTCAAATGTAGAGGCAGGACCTGGGGCCAAGAAACCAACTGTGGAAAACCAGAACTTTCAAGACTCTCCCACCCCTGCCAAAGTGTAAGAGCCATTCCACCCTCGGGCCCAGTGCGTCACCTCGGTGCAGCTGCGCTCTCTCTGGGATGACACGTGTGCTCCAGCGGCAGGTGCCGGGTGCCTGTCTGCCACGTGCCAGCCTCTCCTTTGAGGTTATCTGGGATATATCACTTTATCTCGGGCAGCTCTCAAATGTGCTGGTGCACTGGCTCCTTAATTTAGAAGTTCTCTAATGGCTGGCACTTCCTTCGTTCTGCATAGATTGAACATCTGGGGTAAATTCAGGGCCAGACAGTCCAATTTGTCTGTGGTCTTGAGTCAGCTGGGCGGGCTCAGCAGTGATGAGGCAGGCATGTGAGAGGGGTCGGGCCAGGGGAAAGTTCTGGATAGATTCCGCAGAAGTCAGGTCGTGGAAGCTTCTTCCCAGGGCTAGGGAACACTCCCTTAGCTTGCTCAGTAAATGGAGGGGGTGGTGAGGCGAGGGAAGGAGTAGATCCAGCCATGGAGAAGTAAGAAGAGATGGGGGAGAAACTGCCCCAACTCAGTCAGTCCTGCCAGTAAGCAGACTGTGATCACACATGGCAATTTGCTGCCCTGAATCCTGACCACGAAAGAGTCACTGCTGCTTCAGATTTCATGCCTTCTCTTGGCTTCGGGACACAGAAATTAGAATCTGCTTCCGATGCTTTTTTTGGATCAGGGGCTGATCCATTTCTCTCTACTTTGGGATCCCAGGTGCCCACCTGAGAAGGGGTCTGTTTGTAGACCGTGGCTAGTCTCATAAGAGCCCTTTTGGGGCAGTTCTCCCTGTTCTGCTGGGCGATTTGTCAGTGTCTCCTGCCACCCTTGCCAGGCTAATGACAGTCCTGCTCTGGCCTCTGTAGGAAGCCAAACCTGGGAGGATCCCCAACAGAAGGGCTGGAAAGGAATTGCGCTTTTTAACTGATTTTCTTTTTTAAAACAATAAGCAACATTTTGGCTTTGAAGGGCTGTGAGAGATGAGAGATGGGGTTCCCCACTTGATCAAGGTGAGGGTGAGGGTGTGGCCAGTCTGGCTTCGGAGTTCAAGGATGCTTTCTGTTTGGGGTGGAATATTCCCAAATCAGGGGCCTGTAACCTCGGCCCCAGCTCCTGCCTCTACATTTGAGCAGAGACACAGGGAAAGGTGCAGCTGTCCCAATTTCAAATCCACACACCCCTCATCACAAATCCATCTGCAGCCCTGACTCCATCTCCAGCCTTGTTGTTGAAATTACAGGGGTCAACCCCTTCTGGTGACCCCCCTGTCCCTTCCCTCCCTTCCCTACAGTCCTCCGGGAGACCCAGGCGGAATTGAACAAACACTGGCGTCAGAGCAGCCTTAAAGAAGGAATCCCTGAACCCACACAGCCTGGTAGTCGGTAGAAGCACTTGCCCTTGGCGAATCATGCTGGGCAGGGGGAAGGTGGATTGTATGAGCCTCAGTTGATTTAAGCTGGGGGGTGCAAAACCACCTCCTCCCCAGTCCCGCCCTGCCAGGCATGTGGTTGACACGGTCCCGAATCCCGGTGATGAGGCTCAGGGGTTCGCCGAGCTCTGTAGTTAGGGGCCCTGATCGGGTGTCAGAAGTCTCTAACAGACTGTGTGACCTCGGGCCAGTCCCCTCCTCCCTGGGGACCCCCTCAGCTTTCCCAGCTACAAAGTGAGCAGACGGTTTGACTAGGTGCGCTCAGCTCTTGCACCTCTGATGCTCCAGGCTGTAAGTGCCGTTTCTGGAAGCTGCTTCTATTGCCAGGTTCAACTCAGCACAAACCGCAGTTCCTGATGGGGATGCAGAAGGGGCTGCTGAGAGAAGTATTGGTAGAGGCTGGGGCCAGGCCTGTGGCAGGACCTGCGGCCTCCCCCGTGCTGGGCCATCTTGTTCTCAGCGGTCAGGGACGAAAGGTCCAAGCCTGGGTTCTCGGCTAGTCTAGACCTCACGTGGTGTTTCTGAGCGTGTTCTGTGGACTCCTGCACTGGAGTCATTTGGGAAGTTTGTAAAACATGCCGCATCCTGGGCCCTGCTGAGACCTAGGGATCGGGATCTCTGTGGGCGGAGTCTCCAGAGATTCTGGTTTCACCCAACAACAAAAATAATGATCGCCACAAACATTTATTGGATCCTCACTTTGTGCCAAGAACTCACCCAAGTGCTTCACATGCATTAACTCATTTAATCCTCACAGCAGCAACGCTATGAGGTCAGTTCTGTTACACAAGCCAGGCGATTTTATGTGCGGCCCCAGGAGAGGGGACGTTTGGTGAGATGGGGAGGTCTGGAGGCACCGAGGCCTGAGCTTCAGGCCAAGCCTCTCAGGCAGACCTACTGGCCTGAGCACCCATGAGCGCGTGATTGAGGACAGCACCTGCTGTGTGCAGTGGGGACAGACCCCGGCTGCTCCAAGCCTGACATCTTCTTCGGGAGCCTTCAGGCTGTTTGGGTGACATCTCTCTGTAGACGAGGCCACGACTGGGTAGCCAGCGAGAGACAGCCGCTCTCTGGGTCTCAGTTTCCCCGGGTGCACTGGGAGGGGGCAGGACCAGAAGCTCCCAGAGGCCCCTCCCAGTCCCTGGGTTCCAGGCAACAGGTATTGGCTACGTGCAGACGTGCTGATTACTGAGTGGGATTGCCCTGGCTGGGAAACTTGGAGGCAGGTGGACCTGAAAAGATGGGCACGGGTTCCTCAGGCCTCGGCATGAAGCTGGAGCCAGGCCGGGCGGCCCTGCTGGAGGTCCAGCAAGTCCTCTGCGGAAAAGAAGTGAGGAGCATGACGGGCTTCAGGCCAAATTTCCTTCCTGCCTCACATCAGAAGATAGCAGAGCTCCAAGGGCCCTTGGAAGTCTTTACTGAAGGGGAAACTGAGGCTTGGCGAATTGCCCGAGGCTCACACTTCAACTTAGTGTCAACCAGAGTAGAATGTTGGTGTTCCAGGCTCCCTCCAAAAGTTATGCTCTGTGGCATTAAAATAAGAAGGAGTCTCCTTCCAGGGAACCTCGTGTTCAGGGAATGTGAACGATGGTATTAAACTAAAAACGTCCCAACCCACCAACCAACCAAGCCCAGGGCTTCGAGGCTAATTATGTGTTTGCTCATGAGTCACGGTGCTTCTGCTGAGACCTGAAGCCGTAGCGCCCTGGTTCGTGTGCTTCTGTTCACGGGGAGGGACTGCATCGGAGCGCCCAGGTGAGCTGTCAGGCTGTCCTTCGGTTTGTCTGCTCGGCTTGCTGACTTCATGGGCCAGTGATAGACGCCAGGCTATTCCCCCTTCCCGGGAGCTGGACAGGGGCTGGACTGAGTCACTGAAGTGATTGAGGACGCTCTCAGCTGCCTGGAGAAGTTATAATTAGGGCAGCTTTGTGGTCCTTTAACCGCCATCTGTCACAGCTGCCAAGCGGCTCCAGGCAGCGTGGGCTATTAGGCCTCCATGTGCTGGGCTCCTGGAGGCTGCGGCCACCGCGCGAGCTGGCACTACACGCTGAGAATCCAAGGGCCCAGCTGTCCGTCCCGGTTCTGTGGCCCCTCCCTCCCCTGCGGGCTTTGCAGCTGGGTTTGAGGGGAGCTCTTTGGAGGTCCTGTGGAGCCCTGGGCGCCAGCCACAGCAGTCAAAAGTGCTGGAAAACAGGAAACTGCTGCATGTGGTGCTGGGGTGGGCTTTGCAGATGTGAGGATTTATGAAGAGGAAAATCTGCAAATTCTTGCAATATTTGTCGTGCTGAGTGTGGTCCATTTTAGACAGTGGTGGCCCTGTTCCCGTAGGGAATTATCTCTGCAGTCCTCCCAGGTCATGAGGCACCTTCCCCTGGCACAAGCCCTTCCTGGACTGGCTTGATGCCCCTCCCCAGCTGGGGGGTGCAGACTCAGAGAAAGCCACATAAAGATGGGTCCTCAGAGGGTGCCTCGTCCTACACTGCCATTCATAGATGGGAAACTCAAGATTGCCCTGGGCTGGCCAGGTGACATGCACTTAATTTAGTCTCTGACACTTGGGCTGTGACACTGTTTTGAAGCACGTTGGGTATATGAGTGTATATTAAATATAAGCGCCAGCTAGCTTGCCTCCAGCAGCAATTCAAACTCCACCTTTTGTACATCAGCCCAGGCAGTAAATATCTC